GCCACTTTATTGAGAATTTACAGTTTTACCTGTAATTCAGAAGTAACTTGGATGCGTGCACTAATATCAAGGACGTATTGGCAGCAAAAAGTACTTTATCCAGGTTTCAATTATATAAAATGTCTTATTACACTAGTGCAGTCATTTAAACTTTCTCTTGGGAGAATTCAGGTTTGTCTGTGGTGGTTGGTCATTTTTATGACCTTTGTGGAACCTTCATCTTTATCTTATTTTGTATTTGCTGTTCGTAATTTGAAATCGTACACAGGTTTTTAATCACACGTCATCTACACTTTGTTGTGGTTATATGGACATCTTCAGGAAATGAATTTTTTAAACTAATTTATGAATCGAGTGAGGTCAGATAATAAGATAATGAAGTTCACTTTTCTAATAAGGATAATCTGATATTCAAACTCCAGAGTTTATGATGTGAAGAAATTGGTAAAATTAATAATACAAGAAAAATCTAAAGTCTCAGGTTTAGTGGTTGTCTTAACCATTTTCAATCTTGACACTGCATTAAAATGAATGGCTGCTCGTAAGACAGGGAGTCATAAAAAAATAAAAAATAAATAAAATTAGGACTAAAATGCTCAGCAGCAAGACCTTTTTTCATTTATTTTATTAATTGCTAAAACAGGTTTATTATCAACGTTTACTAAACCTGATTCTGTCCCCAAATATTCTAAAATGATATTGAACAGTTATTATATTATTACGACCACAGGATTTCATTCAATTTTGCAATGTAGTTGCTTCTTCAATCTAGATTTTATAGGAATGCATTTTATTTGTTGACTGCATTAATGGAGCAACACTCAGTCCAGCATGGATGAATAAAAAGGAATGAGATATTTCTATTAAAAGAATATTTTAATCTAAACTAAATAATTAATATGTAGTTACATTTACAAAATAAGGACAATTCCTATGCAGCAAAAAACACAAAACTACAAAGGGTTAACAGCGTCCAAATGGCTCCAATTTAGTCTTTCTATAATATATAGAGAATATGTCCCTCATTCTTAAGTAAAGTCTGGATCATATCTAAGTCACTAGTCTCTCTAACAGGCCTCCTCTTTTCCCTTAGTAAAAAAAAACCCAACATTATAGTTTACAACTACAGCAACTGAAAACTTCAAGAGCTAAAGTTTGATCCTTAACTGAGAAACAGCTACCTTTTGCTAATTAGTGTGCAACCCGCAGTATCCCTGTGAATAAGACTTTTACAGAGGACATGAAATCCAGAATCCTTCCCTTGGTGATGAAGTGTTCAAATGCTAGTTATGTTTATTTAAAATGATGTTATGTTGTACCAACGTGAAAACTAGTTTAGCGACAAAAGAGCAAATTCATGTTTTTGAGTGCTGTATTAAACGGTGGGTCCAGCTAAGTTTAATAACCATTGGTTTTTGATATAACAGGTAATAGTAATTCTCTCCTGATAAAAATAAAACAGAAGGTTAGAATAAATCTCATATAGGTAAAAGAATAAAAATCAGCTCTTTATTTTGGCTCAACCGTGATCTGTGATGATAATATTTATTGCACGTTCCAAACCTCAACAGGAACCAGCAGCTTCAACAACAAAAGTATGAAACCATATTTATCATAGGACTTTTTATTTATTTATTTTATGTTATGCTCCGATTCCTGACAAAGTCTTGACTAGCAGGATGTTCAGCAGTCTTACACGGTTTCATTGCTTGCCTTGCATTCAACCATAGTGGCTAGTTTTGTCCTTGACAATAAGGCTTTAGTAAAAAGTCTCATCACTGCCGCGACCTCTTTTTGAGACCATGCTGTTTCTATTCATTTTTCAGAGACACTACAAAAGAGGAAAACAGATTGTCATCGATAACCCAAACTCTAGGGTTAACTCTTAATTTTCATTACATTGTTATGTAGTAAATCTACAACTTCAAAGCATGTAAAGTAGGGATGAACCGATCCAACTTTTCCTCTCCTGGTACTAAACTGGTCTGATATCCCAACTCGCTGTGCTAACATGTGGCATATTTTACCCTTGCTGCTAAGAGTTAGTACATGACATGCAACAGTAGTCCTCGTTTTCTGAGCTGCTCTCCTTTTGTCAAACTTTGTGAGATGTGAAAACATTTATTTCATCCGCACAATGTTTCTACACGACTGAATGACAGCATGTGAAAATCTAGTTTTAGGGAGAAGTCGGTTTTTGGTTGTGATAAGCTAGCCCAAATCACAACATCAAAACTTCTAGTTTCACATTAAAAAAAATGTTTTGTGAAGCACATGCAGGAAGGAATGAATTACAATCAGCAATAGTTTGACAGAACAACATGAGGTTATTGCAGCCAATGGACAGCAGAACAACAAAGAAGCCGCCTGCTGTGAAGAACAGAATTACATATTGTGATAAATACATTAATATGGGCCGCTGGTTGTTTATGGCACTAAAACTGAGTTTATGGCTCACTATGACCCTGAACTGATAGTAAAATACTTTTGTGTTTGCATTGTGTATTTACCATGGGGTTCGTGCCCTTCCCTTCTCCTGTTTGTCCCTCTTATTCTTGTTACACAGTGCAAAAGACAAATCTTATCTCTTTACTACAAGTTACGTATAAGTTACAGGATATTATAAATCTACAACTTCAAAGCAATGTGAATCACATTTTCATTAGCTTCAGAGTCTTTTACAGGAACTGGCTCGGAGGTGTATTTATCATCTGGAAAGGGACATGAGTAAAGTTTAAAGTTTGGTGATGTTGACACTGACTTGCATTAAAATAGCTTTAAAAGCGGCTTGCTAGTTAAACATTTCTATTGGGGCAGACCTGAGAGATGTGCCTTGCAGAGCGGTTTTAATACATGTG